CGGCCCAGCAGGGAGCCGTCCAGAAACCACAGACCGAGAATGAACTTGAACGAGGATCACTGTGGGAGCTAGAGGTTGTGGAGGGAGCCGAGAGGAGAGAGCTGTGGTTGTCGGCAGGCGGAGGCTGATCCGAGCCGGGCGAGCCGGGACCTGCCGGCCAGGCCCAGGGCAGCTGTGCCAAGGCCCTGAGGCAGGAGCAGGCCTGGGGGTGCAGTGGGGGAGGACAGAGGTCAGAGGGGGCATGAGCAGCCCTTTGGGGGTCTCGCAGGCCTGAGTGTGAAAAGGGGGCGCTGGGAGGAGGGGTGGGCTGCAGAGACCAGACTGGGGGTGGAGGAGGGGCAGGAAGGGCCCCGCGGCCCCTGCAGTGTCCCCGCCCTGGACACCCACCCGGGCGCCCCCTGGGGACCGGGAGCCCCCTCAGAGCCCTTCCCAGCCCAGAGCCCAGAGCCCGCACCTGCCTGGGGCTCGGTGCCGCTGCCCCAGCCGCCCCGGCTCCGGTGGGCGGGGGCTGTCTTGAGAAATCCACGCCGTTGCCAGCCCTACGCCCCGCACGCCGGCGGCGGGATCCGTGTTCTACTTCAGGGCGAGTCGTTTAAAACACATTTTAGATGAGAAACACCCGCAGACGGAATAAAAAGCGGAATGGGCTGAAATCCGGAGATAAAACACGCGACTTCAAAGGCACCTCAAGCTGAGAGCAGCCTGCCATGTTTGACAAGCTCCGTCCCCCCAGGCCAAGGTCACCGTCCTCCCAGGTGGGGCGCCCGGCGGGCGGACAGCACTGGGCCTTCCCCGGCCCTGGGGGGCAGCAGGGGCCCCGGGCTCACATTCATGGGCGCCAAACACACCCCCAGCTTCCACACGGGGCCCTGGGTAACCATCTTAGCATGGACACCCACGTTCCTTCCTGCCCCATTTACAGGTGGGGAAACTGAGGCCGGAGAGAAGTGACCTCCAAGGGCCGCAGCCAACCTCTGCGTCTTTGCCAGGCTCTGTCCCGAAGTCCCCAGTGGCAATCGTGGGCCCGCCGCTCCACCCCTGGGCCTGGGTTCCCTCATCCGGGGTCGGGGTTTGGGGGGGGCGTTTTTTGGCCGAGCCCCTCGGAGCCACAGATGATAGCAGTGAAGAAGCCCCGAGGCCCGCAGCGTCCGGCGCTGCGGCACAGCGGGTAAAGCCACGGCCTGCAGTGCCCGCATCCCGTATCAGAGCACGGGTTCGAGTCCCGGCTGCTCCACTTCCAATCAGCTGAAGATGGCCCAAGGGCTTGGGCCCCTGCACCCACGTGGGAGACCCAGATGGAGCTCCTGGCTCCTGGCTTCCACCTGGCCCAGCCCTGGCCGTTGTGGTCATTTGGGGAGTGAACCGATCTAACTCTTTCAAACGAATAAATAAATCTCATTAAAAAAAAAAAAAAAAAGACGCCGTAAAACTGTGATGGCCGGAAGCTCGGTCTGAGGCCGCCCTCTGTGGCTGCTGTGGCCGCCACAGGCGATGGCTGAGCAGCAGCAGCCGCGTGGCTCAGGTTCCTGGTGGCCAGGAAGTCCCCCGCGTGGCACCAGCACCTGCCGAGGGCCCTGGCGGCAGGGGAACCCGGCCGGCGGGTGGAGGGCGGCACGAGGGAGCAGGTGTGGGTCCTTTCCCCTCTCACAAGGCCACTAAGGCCACCGTGACCCCCTCCAAGCTCCACCACCGTGTGAACCTGGGGACTGGGGCGCTGGGTCCCGGCCACGGCGAAGGCTGCGGGGATAACGGCCATCAGCGGCGGCCCCGGCCTCAGGACCTTGCTGGACACGCAGCTCCATTATACAGAAGGGGAAGCTGAGGCCCAGGCACAGGCCCGCGAGCCCACACAGGGAACCCCGCCGGGCTGACTCCGGGGTGGGCCTGGACTCCCCCGGCCCCTGCCCAGCCTCCTGGGCTCAGCGCCTCACTGCTGCTTCTCTGACCTGAGCCCAGCGGTGGCCCCAGTCTGCGGTGGGTGGGTGGAATGAGGGGGGGGGTGAGCTGGGCTCTCCCTCTCCCTCTCCCTCTCCCTCTCCCTCTCCCTCTCCCTCTCCCTCTCCCTCTCCCTCTCCCTTCCCCCCAGTCTTCCGGAAGGTCCACTCCTGCTCCTCCCCAGGCTCCCCTACAACCCCAAGCTCCAGCAGGCTGGTCCCAGCCCCCCAACAGCCGCCTGGGCGCCTTCCACTTGTGGGTAGCTTGTTAGGTAACAGATTCGTGTTCACGGCCCCAGACTGGAGAAGACAAACAGGGAGTGAGAACAAAGCAAGTCGGCCCTACGCCTGCCGGCCAGCTCAGTTTTCCCTTAGGACCTGTGAGATTTGCAACAAAAACGTACAAACAGCTCAGGTATCAGGCGGGTTCTCTGGGCCCAGCCTCGGCAGCTGCTGCCCCCGCCCCACGCCCAGAGCCCCACGGAGGGGGCCCCATGATTGTTTTGTTGCTTCAACTGATGAGGAATGAGGGGTTCAGCGGGACTGAGTGGCTTGCCCAAGGTCACGCAGCTGGGGACCGGGTCTGGCTCCAAGGGGGCGCTGAGTGCTGCCTGCCTGCTGGGGACCCCTCCCCCGGGAGCCAGGGGGCAGGCACTCAGCGTCTGACATTAGCATAACCATGGCCATCGGAAACCCAATTACCCTGAGATGGCTTGGGCTCCAGCCAGCCGGTGTGGTCTCCTCCACACGGAGGGAGAAGCGGCCCTGTTGGGTGGGCGAGTGGAGGCAGAACGGGAAAGCCTGGTGTGTGGGGGCTGGGTGGGCCCCGCGGCTGGGTCCCGGCTGGACAGGCCACCACCTCCAGGCAAAGCCAGGGCTCCTCTGTCCCCAGCTCCCGCTCACTGGGTGACCCTGGGCGGCTCCCTGCTTGCTCTGAGCTTCAGCTGTCTCCAGAAAGGGGAGAAGGAAACCAAGGGGGTGGGAGAGGGAGAGGGAGAGGGAGAGGAGCCCCAGCCCTGCCAGGCCTCCACCGCTGACTCCCGGAGTCACCCCCTGCCCCGGGGCCCAGAACCTTGACCTTGGGGAGCCTCCTGCAAAGTGCAATCGCGGACCTCACGCACATCGTGGGCTGCATCCCGCGGGCCCCCGCGGCTCTCCGGGGCCGGTTTTCCCCGCTGTCTAATATTCCCCGGCCGAGGGGGGCGGCCCATTCTCCCTGCAGCCAAGGTAACGGGGTCCAGTCCCACCCCCGCAGGCCACGGCCCTGACGCATGCGCAGAACTCCTCTCACGCGCCCGCCCGGGAGTGGGGCTGCTGGCGGGGCTGCGCGGCGTTCTTAACTTGACTAGTTGTTGCCAAATTGTCTCCAAAGTGGTTGTTCTGATGATCGCTTTAAAATATAAATTAGATCATGTCACTTCCCTGCTTAAAACTCTCAAATAGCTCCCTATTATACTTAGAATAAAACGCATATTCTCCTCCATGAACACATGGCTGCAGCCCACGCGCGACTCCCGCCACCCCCAACTTCCTGGCCTCCTTCCTCTCCCTCAAATAGGTTTGGCTCCTTCATACCCCAGGGCCTTTGCACACACTGCTTGCTCTGCCTGGCACACTCCTCTACCAGCTCTTTCCACCTTGGGTCCTCCTTATCTTTCGGGTCTCGGTGAAAATGTCACCTCCTCTAAGGGCCTCCCCCTGATCACCCAAAGTGCCCGCTGCCAGCACGGGCATTTAGCCTAGAGCTGCGATACTGGTCAAGACACCCACGTCCCCCATCAGAGGACCCCCTGCAACACCCAGCGCTGGCTGCAGCTCCAGCTCCAGCTCGTGCAGACCCCGGGAGGTAGCAGCGCTGCTCCAGTGTTGGGAAGCCTGGACGGGGCTCCTGGCTCCTGGCCGTGGCCCGGCCCAGCCCAGCCGTGGCAGGCATCTGGGGAGTAAGCCAGCGGATGGGGACTCTCGCTCTCTGCGCCTCTGAAATAAATATTGTTACTTGTTGAGGGGACAAAAGTGCTCGCTGCCCCATGCCTTGCTTCCTGGGGCGCCCACCCCCTGGTTTTCTAACGACTTCCTTTGGGACCAGCAGGGCAGCCTGTGGGGAGGTCCTCCACCCACCGTGGCCAACACCCAGGGGCTGGGAGGCAGGCAGAAGGGGTGGCCAGGCCCTGGGGCCCTGATCCCTCTTCCACAGCCACGGGGAGTCGGGTGCAGCCTGACTCGCTCCTTGGGGATGGGGGGGGGGGAAGGGCGGGTTGAGAAGAGGCCTTGCTGCACCAGGGACCAATCAGAGGGCGGAGGGGGAGGCAGGATCTGCCCGGGATGGAGTTGGCTTCTCAGCGTGGCTCCATGTGGTCAGTGGGAGGAGCAGCAGGAACCCCCTCCCCCTGGCAGGAGCGGAGGGGGGCTCCCCGTCCAGCCCTCCCCGAGGCCCAGGGTCTTAACCTCTGGGGTCACAGCCCCCCAATCCAGGGAAAGCTTCTGACGCTTCCCCAGACGCTGTCCTCAACGCCCCTGAGGCCAGACCCCCGCAGGGTCATCCCTGGAGCCCTGGCAAGGCACCCCCGGGGAAACTGAGGCCCCAGGAGCTGGAGACCCACGCGAGGTGTCGCCCTGAGGCCAGAGACGGTCCCTTCTCAGGGAGGCCGAGCAAGGCGGCAGCCACTCGGGGCCCAGGGCCCTCAGGTTGGACACCGGGGGGCACTTCCGTCAGTCGCAGCTCTGGGGTGCACCTGCCGCCTGCGTGCAGCGCGCGGCTCCTCGCTCTCGGCGGAGGCGGCCTGGGGGGCCCAGCCAGGAACAGGCGGCCGTGTCTGCGGAGCTGCTTCCGCGAGGCGCCGCTCCCAGGCCCTGCGCGGATGAGACCAGAGGGCCCAGCCTGGTCCCTGCCCCGCCTGCCTCAGGGTCCCCCGGCCCGGGCGCCTCTCCTCTCTATCCTCCTAGCTTGGACTGCACCCCGTGGCTGCCATTGGTATGCGAGGCCGAGCCTCGGGGTGCCCCTGCGTGGCCCAGCCTGGGCTCTTTAAGAATCTCTCCTTGGCGCCGCGTGCCGGTTGCCAGGCAACCCTCCGCCCCACCCCCAAGGCCGGCAGTGGTGCCCCTTCCCCTCCCTCTCCCTGTGCTCAGCCCTGCCCAGCCTCAGCAGGTGCTCAGCGCAGAACCTGGGCGGCCTGGCTGCCCTGGGCACCTGCGCATGGCAGGTAAGGGGCTCGGACTGACCCCACCCCACCGGGCCTGGATCGGAGCTCCGGACACCCAGGAATTGGGGAAGGGGCCGGGGCTTCGGATAGGCTTTCTCCTGACTGTGCCGGCGCCAGGTTGGGGCGGGGTCCCAGAAGATGCCATGTTTCCTCCCCCACCCCTGCAGCTCCAGGACCGAGGGAGGGGGGCGCCATGGGCTGAGCCCCTCTTTGTCCCTGGCTGTGGGAGCAGGCGCCAGGCTCAGGGCAGGCCGCAGGGCTGTGGGCAGTGAGCCAACTGGGACCGCAGCGGGGACCGCAGCGGGGAACGGTGAGGGAGGTGCTGGGGGTGGGGGGAGGCAGCCCTGAGGCTGTGGCCAGGGTGCCATTCGCCCCTCCCCCGAGACGTCTCCATCTCCACACCTGGGCGTCCTTGACCTCACCTTGCCTCTCCCCTGCCCTCAGCAGCCAACAGCTCACCTCGGCTCTCCAGTCTCCCGGGGCCACCCGTCACTTCCACATGGCGGCCCCTTCCTCACTGTCCCCAGTGCCAGTCACGCAACCTCTGTGCCAATCAGGGGCCCGGTCCCCCCCCCAGCTGGGCCTCACCTGCTGCTCTCTCCACCGCCCCTGTCCAGCAGCCCCCACCGCCCTGGCACGTGCTGGTCCCTCCGTGTGGCCCGCCCTTCCTGGACGTGGCAGGTGGCAGTGGCAGGTGAGAGGCAGCTTGTCCCCTGCAGGGAACCATGCAGGGGCGAGGGAGGGCAGCCCCGGGTGGCTGGGAGACACGTGGGTGGGGGGGTACAGTCATTGTGGCGGGAAGAGGAGGCTCCTATGGAGGGCGGGGCCGGCAGCGGAGCCCGCCCAGTGGCAGCCCTCCAGGGCTGGAGGGAGGCGGGGGCTCAGTGGTTCCCGCCCTCTACTTTGCCCAGCCCAGGGGCGGTTGTGAGGCCAGGTCTGCCTCTCAGGTCCCCATCACCTCCCCCACCCCCCACACATCCAGACCTCCCTGCCCGCCTCTGAGCCGCTGGAGGGGGTGGCCCCCTCTGAGCCCCGACCGTCACCACGTGACATTTCCCAGTTCGATGAATTTCCCAGTTTGCCTTGGGACAGCTCCATCACCGTCAGCATGGCCTGGAAGGGTTCTTTCAGCCCCACGCTCCGTCCACGCAGTCACTCAGCCACGCCTGGCCGTGCTCGGCCCACCCACGTGCCAGATGCTGGGGACACGCAGGGACGGCGACGGGTGCTCCCGGTGCGGCGGTGATGTCATCAGCCACACCCCGATTTCAGAGATGTCAAAGTGCGCTCACACAACTCCCAGTGGCTGGTACGTGTGTGGTTCAGGGCCACCAAGGAGAAGCGACGGGGGCGGAGGGAACAGGTGACCGCTCAGTGTCTCTCCAAAGTGCACATCCACTCCGATCCCCCGGCCCCCCACTTGCCGGTGTGGGGAGGTGCCGAGGTTGGGTGGGGACATGGAGGTGGGACCCTTGTGATGGTGTCAGGGGCTTCATTAGGAGGGGGCATGGCTGGAGCCACCGAGCGGGCTCTGGCCCAGCGTCCCTGACAGCAGAAGGGACTCTGCGGATGCGGCCCCTCCGTCGCGAGCCGGTCGGCCGAGTGCGGGTCCAGCGACAGAGGACGAGGCGACTGACCTCACCAGAAAGGTGGGGTCGGGAGGCTGCTCGCAGGGCACCTGGCCGAGGCTGAGCAGCACGGGCTTCGGCCTGGAGGGTGGGCGAGCAAGGCCAAGGGGGCCCCTGGCTCCCCGCTGGCCGGCAGCCTCCCAGGCCCCAGGAGTTGCTGGCTTCATCCCTCCTGGCCTTGCCCCTGGAGCACCTGCTACGGGACTCCCCCCTCCCTGGGCCGGAGGCCCTGCCTGCCGCCGCTGGCCCCTGGCCTCGGGTTCCTGCCGCAAACCAGTCGTCCTGGGCATGGCCTGGGGCTGCAGGTGGGGAGTCAGATGGGCTGGGTACTCAGTGGCGTGACTCAGTGGGACGCAGGGGGCCTCTCAGTTGGAACTCAGAGGTGGGCGTGTCGTGGTACAGTGGGTTCAGCTGCCATTTTCCGCGCCAGCATCCCGTCTATCAGAGCGCCGGTTCAAGTCCCAACTTCCAACCCAGCTCCCTGCTAATGTGCCGGGAGGGCAGCAGATGAGGGCTCACGTGCATGGGGTCCCAGCCACCCGCGTGGGAGACCCAGACGGAGCTCCTGCCTCCTAGCTTTGGCCTGGCCCAGCCCTGGCTATTACAGGCATCTGGGGAGTGAAACAGAATAGAAGATCTCTCTCTCTCTCTCTCTCTCTCTCTCTCTCTCTCTCTCGTTCTGCATTTGATAAATTCTTTAAAGGATGTATTTATTTATTGAAAATCAGAATTACAGAGAGAGAAAGAGAGACAGGGTGGGGGGAGACAGAGAGAGAGAGAGAGAGAGAGAGAGAGAGAGGTCTGCCATCCACTGCTTCACTCCCCAGATAGCTACAATGGCTAGGGCTGTGCCAGGCTGGAGCCAGGAGCCAGGAGATTCATCCGGGTCTCCCACGCAGGTGCAGGGGCCCAAGCACTTGGGCCACCTTCCACTGCTTTCCCAGGCCACAGCAGGGAGCTGGATCGGAAGCGGAGCAGCCTGCTCACCCGCCAAGCAACACCCCATGGGACCGTGGCACCGGAGGCACCAGCTTTCCCTGCCACACCACGATCCTGGCCCCGGGAACATCTTTTATGAAAAGAATGCAGAGTGGGATGGGAAGCCTGGTAGGGTCTGGGTGGGGCTGGGAGCGCACCCCTCCCTGGAGTTGATGCCAAGCTGGCCCCTGGGGAAGGCTGAGCCCAGGCCCTCTGAATGGCCGCCTCCATCCTTGCCCAGCCAGCTGACCGCTGGCCACTGATCGCACAGAGGGACTAAGGCCCCTGGTGACGCCCCCAGCCCTCCCACGGGGATGACTCTGCCCCAGCCCCGAGTCCGGTCACCGGCTTCCCTTCCCCCGGCCCCGGCAGCCCCAAGGCCACGGGCGGCACAACCTGTGCCAACAGCCGCGGAACAGCGCCGTGTCTCGATCCCGCACCACGCAGCACGTAAACCACTGCCTCCCATGACCTCCCAGGACGGCCATGCTGAGAAAAGACTGGGGGGGCACAGGGAGGCTGGGACAGGGCTCGGGCCACCAGCAGCAGAGGGGTAAGGTGGCGAGCGGAAGAGGACCAGGGCTCCGGGAGAGTGGCTGGGCGGGTGGCTGTGGGCATGGCTGGGGTGACCGCGACTGCCCACTGGCAGGCTGCTCTGGGGGCCAGGGAGCTGGGGCTTGGTGAGCTCAAGGCTGAGGCCACAGATCGTCACCAAGCAACTTGTGTGTCCCTCCCGGCTGACAGTGTCCTTGTCAGGACCCGGCTGGCAGGTCAGCTTAGTCCTTCTGAGCCCACGGCACCGAGTGTTTGTTGACTGAACAAGTGATCTTTTAACTCCCAGAGCCGGCTGCCCCTTTCCTGGAACTGGTTCTCCCCTTGTCCTCGTCCTTGTCCAAGACGCCACACGTCAGCCACCCTGATTTCCACACGAGCCCCTGGCCGCCGTCCCCAGCTTTGACAAGAATTCCCGACCACGCACCACAGCACCTGTAGCAGGCTGGAACAAGCTCCTCCTGCTGCCCGCCAGGCCTTTTCTCTCTGCTCCCGGGTCCCGGTCAAGCAGCCGCCTGCCCTGTGAGTGGCAGGGCCCCTAGGCCTTGTGCTGAGCTGTCGTGGTTCCAGCTTTGCCACAGCAGGGTTCCAGCAGGTCGCAACTCACCCTTGACCCGTGGTGCCCCCAACAGCGGCTGGCACAGAGCGGACCTCCGTCAGCGCTCCCTGGACCGTGTGCAGCCGCCGAGCACGGCTGAGCAGGCCAGATGGAATATCACGCAGCCATTAACCGCAATTACGGAGATGATGTTTTCATATCTCAGCTCCACTTGTCGGAGCTATAGCCGTAGCACCCACCACAAGGCCCCGAGAGCCCGCTCTCTGCCAGCCCCCTGCTGGGCACGGGCACGGCGGGGCTGGGAAGCCACCTCGCTTCCAGGGCTTCGGCTGGACAAGGAGCGAGCCGCACACAGGTGCCGAGACGGAGCGACAACGGAGCCCCGGGCCCCGCGTCCATCTGGGAGGGGGGAGGGAAACATGGCCGAGCCTGGAAGGGGACAGGGAACAGAGGCTGCGGACCTGACGCCCAGGGCGGTGGCATGGTGGCGATGTGTTCTTCCCTCTATTGTTGGCATAATGCTGTTTGGGCAATAAATAAAAACTGGAGGAAAAAATAGCCGTTTGGAGAATTGAGCAGAGAGCGGGAGCAGGCAGAAAGGGAGTTAAGGGGGTGGGTGGGGGGCTCAGGCGGGAGACGTGAGGACGACAAGGCCGGGGGGCTCCCAGCAGGGACGCGGGGGCAGGCGGCAGAGGGGGCCTCTGTACCCCAGGGGTGGTGGTCTGGCCAGGCCTTGAAGGACAGCACAGAGCAAGGTCTGCTGGGCCCTGGAATGTTCTGAGGAGGCCTGGGGTGGGAGGCACCGGCGGGCAGGGGTCTGCAGAGAGGGGCCCTGAGGCTCTGAGGAGTCTGGGGGCAGAGCCGGGAGCAGAGGTGGGGAGAGCAGAGCAGCCGTCTACAGGGAAAGAAGCCAGGAGGCAGTGACCCGGCTCGGTGACAGGTGACGGTGTCTGGCCAGGGCAGGTGAGGCTGCACAGATGGGAGACCTCCGCATCCGGCAGAACGCGACAGCACCGGGACTCAGGAGGTAGGGAGATGGCGGGTGGTCTGGGTGCCCCTCCCTATGCCAGCCCTCACAGCACAGGTGCTCCCCTGGGGCCCATGTCAGCCCCCTCAGCATAGGTGCTCCCCCCAGCCCCCCATAGCACAGGTGCTCCCCCCAGTCCCCACAGCACAGGTGCTCCCCCCTGTCAGCCCTCACAGCAAGGTGCTCCCCCCAGCCCCCTCAGCACAGGTGCTCCCCCCTGTCAGCCCTCACAGCACAGGTGCTCCCCCCCAGCCCCCACAGCACAGGTGCTCCCCCCATCAGCCCTCATAGCACAGGTGCTCCCCCTGTCAGCCCCCAAAGCACAGGTGCTCCCCCCAGCCCCCTCAGCACAGGTGCTCCCCCTGTCAGCCCCCTCAGCACAGGTGCTCCCCCCAGCCCCCACAGCACAGGTGCTCCCCCCTGTCAGCCCTCACAGCACAGGTGCTCCCCCCCAGCCCCCACAGCACAGGTGCTCCCCCCATCAGCCCTCATAGCACAGGTGCTCCCCCTGTCAGCCCCCAAAGCACAGGTGCTCCCCCCAGCCCCCTCAGCACAGGTGCTCCCCCTGTCAGCCCCCACAGCACAGGTGCTCCCCCCCAGCCCCCTCAGCCTCAGCACAGGTGCTCCCCCTGTCAGCCCCCACAGCACAGGTGCTCCCCCCCCAGCCCCCTCAGCCTCAGCACAGGTGCTCCCCCCAGCCCCCACAGCACAGGTGCTCCCCCCAGCCCCCACAGCACAGATGCTCCCCCCAGCCCCCACAGCACAGGTGCTCCCCCAGTCTCCACAGCACAGGTGCTCCCCCCAGCCCCCACAGCACAGGTGCTCCCCCCATCAGCCCCCTCAGCACAGGTGCTCCCTCCCAGCCCCCACAGCACAGGTGCTCCCCCAGTCTCCACAGCACAGGTGCTCCCCCCCCAGCCCCCTCAGCACAGGTGCTCCCCCCAGCCCCCACAGCACAGGTGCTCCCCCCAGCCCCCACAGCACAGGTGCTCCCCCAGCCCCCACAGCACAGGTGCTCCCCCTGTCAGCCCCCTCAGCACAGGTGCTCCCCCCAGCCCCCACAGCACAGGTGCTCCCCCCAGCCTCCACAGCAAGGTGCTCCCCCAGCCCCCACAGCACAGGTGCTCCCCCGTCAGCCCCCATAGCACAGGTGCTCCCCCATCAGCCCTCACAGTACAGGTGCTCCCCCCATCAGCCCCCTCAGCATAGGTGCTCCCCCCGTCAGCCCCCTCAGCACAGGTGCTCCCCCCCGTCAGCCCCCACAGCACAGGTGCTCCCCCCCAGCCCCCACAGCACAGGTGCTCCCCCCAGCCCCCTCAGCACAGGTCCTCCCCCCAGCCCCCACAGCACAGGTGCTCCCCCCAGCCCCCACAGCACAGGTGCTCCCCCCCAGCCCCCACAGCACAGGTGCTCCCCCCAGCCCCCTCAGCACAGGTCCTCCCCCCAGCCCCCACAGCACAGGTGCTCCCCCCAGCCCCCACAGCACAGGTGCTCCCCCCCAGCCCCCTCAGCCTCAGCACAGGTGCTCCCCCCAGCCCCCACAGCACAGGTGCTCCCCCCCGTCAGCCCCACAGCACAGGTGCTCCCCCCAGCCCCCACAGCACAGGTGCTCCCCCCAGCCCCCACAGCACAGGTGCTCCCCCCAGCCCCCTCAGCACAGGTGCTCCCCCCAGCCCCCACAGCACAGGTGCTCCCCCCCAGTCCCCACAGCACAGGTGCTCCCCCAGCCCCCACAGCACAGGTGCTCCCCCCTGCCGTCAGCCCCCAGCACAGGTGCAGCGGCTCCTCCAGCCACTTTCCCCACCAGGTCCCTTTAACCCCCACGCTAACCTTGGACTTCAGTCCTTAGTACTCCCATTTACTACCAAGGACTGAGGCTGGCCGTCGTCTGACCCAGGCACTGCCCACTTAGGCAGCGTGGGGCACTGCTCCGAGTGCCCAAGGAAGTGGGAACACCTGGGTAGGGAAGGGGCCAGCGGGGAAGAAGGGGTTACCTCGGCAGCAGAGTGGGCCTGGGGACGTGTTTGTGAATGAATGCACGGATGGCTGGCTGAATGAATGAATGAATGAATGGATGGATGGGTGGATGGGTAGATGGGTGGAAGGTTGATGAATGAGTGGGTGCGGAGAGCGGGGTGCAGGGGAGGCGGCGCGCCGAGCAAGAACCCCGCTTCCTCCCCCCACCGGAGGCGGGTTTGCTTTGGGCGCCTCCTCCCCCCACCGCTCCCCAGGGGGGCAGACTCCCAGACTGAGAGCCCCACCCCCAGCCATTTTAGCTGAGGGCAGGAGGAGCGGGAGGCGGAGGCCGCGGCTCCGGGCTGGGCCCGAGTCCCCGCGCGGCGGCGCAGCCTCCCGCGCCGGGTCCCGCCGGCCAGTGCGCAGCGCGGCCCCCGCCCCCGCCGCCTTCTCCCCGCCCGCCGCCGCCTCCCCTTCTCCTCCCCGCCCGCTCGCTCCGCGCCTGCACGCACGGCCCCCGCCGCCGCGAGGGGAGAGGCGGCCGCACAGCCTGGCTCCCGCGCCCTGCTCGCCGCCGCCCGCGCGGACACCACCGCTGGCCTTCGCTCCACGGAGCTCACCCGCCCGGGCACACGCACCCCGCCACCGGCGCAGCCCCGCGCGCTCCTCCCGCGGCTCTGCCGGGCGCCCGAGCCGGGCAGATGCGCCGCCGCGCGCCCCCCGCCCCGGGCCCGCCACCGCGCTCCGCTGCGCGCTGGGGACTCCTCTCCCGCGCCCCCCAGGGTGCCCTCCGGCTCGGGTTCCCGCCCGCTCCTTGGAATAACCCCTGAGGCTCCAGCCGTAGCCGCAAAGTTTCCCGAGGAGACCCGCCTCCCCGGCCGCTGCGCAGGTAAGGCGGGCTGAACGGGCGGGGGCCGGAGCTGGGCGCCCGGGACGGGGCGCCGGGGCCCGCGGGGCGGGGGCCGCAGGCCGGCGAGGCGCGGAGGCGCGGCGGGATCGGGCTGCTCGGCTTTGCCCTGGCGCGGCGGGGGACGCGCAGCCTTCGGGATTTGGGGTGGGGGCCGGGAGCCGAGCGCCGAGCGCCAGTGGCGCTGGCCCCGCCGCCCGGGGAGGCGTGGGGTGCGCGGCCGGCGGCTCCGCTCTCATGAGCAGAGCCTGCAAAGGGCGGGGGTCGGGGGGCGGCTCGGCTGGAGCCCGCGGGGGGCGCCAGGCTGGGTAGGGCGGTCCCAGCTCCGGCCCCGCACCCTGGAGCCAGAGGGCGAGGTGCCCGCGGCCAGGGCACCGGCCGGCCGGGCGCCGCGCTCCCGTCCCCACCAGCCGTGTGAGTCACGGTTGGAGCGAGGTTTTATTTTTAAAACGACTTCAAGGGGGGCACCAGCAGCCTCCAACTTCCCTCCCTGTGCGCGCTGTGGCTGTGAGCCCTGTGCCGCCTCGGTGGGGGCCGTGCACCTGGCGGCCAGAGCCCTGCAACTTCGCGACTGGGGGCACACAGCGGGCGGCCCCCTCCCCAGGCTCTCCAGGCCAGCGGGGCGCCCCATGGGGGCTGGCCGACACGCCCTCCCTGGGGGCAGGAGGCCCAGGGGGGAGGCAGGGAGCGGGCTGATGTGAGCTCTCCATGGGAGAGAAAGTTGTGGGGCAGCCCCATCAGGGAGCTACCAGGCTTCCCGCAGCTCCAGGGGCTGGAGGCTCTCTGGGGTGAGCTTGGCGAGCAGACAGCTCAGCTGGGGGGCGGGGGAGCGAGGGGGCAGTGGGCCCAGCCCCCTGAGGTCCTGCACCCTCAGGGAGGCTGGAGGCCAGCCCACCTCCCAGGGTGGCTTTGGAGCTGGGGAGGGGCTGTCTGTGCTGGGGGAGGGGGGACACAGTCCCCCAGGACCCCGGGTGCTCCAGGTGGAGGGGTGTGGGCTGGGCCAGCCCCCCCCACGGCGGTCACAGGGTTGGGGGGCTCCAGGCTGGGATTTCTGGAGTTGAAAGTGCAGTGCGTCTCTTCCGGCCAGCCCCAGGAGCAGAGCCCCAGCGTCACCTGTCAGCTGGTGCCGGCTCCGTGGGCGACTGCTCAGGGCGTCCTCAGGTTTAAAATGGAAATGGCCTGTGCTGTGGGGAGGGGCTGGGGAGGCCTGAGGGGCAGGAGGAGCTGCCGGCTGTCACATCTGGCTGCAGTGGGCAGAGAGCGCGTGCGGCGGCGGGCAGGGGCTCTGTGTGCACCCCCACGCAGACCCATAGCCCGGACACCTCCTAAAAGCTATGGGAGTACAGAGTCGCAGGGCGCTGGGCAGCCGTGGCCTGCACCGACTTCCCCTGGAGCTGAGCCTCCCTCGCACCCGCCCACCGCTGACCGCTTGCCTGTCCCCCCACCTCTGTGCCTCTCTGACCCCCAGACGGGAGCTGTCCCATGTCCTGAGTGGCCCTACCCCGCTTCTGGGCCACAGGCTCCCCCAGGGCCGGGGGCACCTGCAGAGAGCCTGGAGGTTCTAGGGCGAGATCCCCCTCCCTATGCAGCTGGCACGCTGGCCCCCAGCAGCGGCGCCCCCAGTGCTCCCCTGAGTCGCCCCACGGAGGCCCCTGGGAGCACCGCCCAGCTTGTCTCTAAGGA